GAGCTTAGCTTATTCTTTAAGGAAATAACATCTACTATGATTAAGGTTGAAGATATGATCCGTTTTGAGGAAATATACCAATAATCTTGTGCAAATTAGAGCGTATTTTCCCATCAAGTTTTTTCGACTCAATGGAGCATCTTCCCACACACTTGCATATGAAGCAAAAATAACCGGACTCGTATAATATCGATGGATGTATCCATTTGAAAGGTACAAATTAATGATTTTAATGGACATACGTAAGTTTATAACTTTGTCAAATATTGATTAAGTCTAATAAACTCATAATATTATTGTAGGTACCTTCGCAAATTAAAAAATAATGTTAAAAACAAAGCCGTAGTCGAAGGGTCAATATGCAATGCATATTTAGTTGAGGAAGCTTCAATGTTATGTTCATATTACTTCGAGCCTCATGTACACACTAGGCATCGAAAAGTGCTTAGTAACTTTGATCGTGATCGAGAACCGAATGAAAATATTGAAGGCATGTTAGCAATATTCATTCCTAAAGGTAGACCTCTTGGTCAAGCACGATCACATGTCCCGACGGATCAAAAAAAGAATGCGGCGCACAATTACATTCTATTGAACCGTGATGAGGTGACACCGTACCGGAGTAAGTTTTATTACTATCAAATATTATTACTATACATTTATTCTTTAACAACCATTCAATTTAAGAACATATAATAACAATATTTTTATCGTCGGATATTTTATCGATCAACTTTATGAAAGTGACCTCGACATATCGAAAAACGAGGTTGATTTTCGACTTCAAAACCAATTTGTATAATGGTTCCATCGATATGTGAGTATTCCCGCTATCAAGATTGTTATTAAATATTCATAAATTTATTTTATAAAATTTTATTATTACATTACCTTATAAGTAACTCGATCCTTACATACGAGCAAGTCGAGCACAACCTAAAACTATAACAAATCATTATATTAAAGATTTAGCCAAAGGATCATTACGAACTGCGAAGTCGTATGCGGGGTACATTATAAACGGATATAAGTTTCATACCGATGTTGGTGGTTCGGAGAGAGCATCAATGTGTAGTGGAGTGTGTGTTAAAGGAGTTAACTACGGTGAGGTGCAAAATAACTACTACGTTAGGTTGATTGACATACTCGAACTTGAGTATCCAGACCTTACCAATAAAGAAAACAGTTTTGTTCAAATGTGATTGGTATTATATAACACATGATACTCGGTACAAGAGTTCATGATCATTATGGACTAGTTAAGGTTCATAGTAGTAGGTATTCAAATAGATCCGATCCATTCATACTAGGATCACAAGCGCATCGAGTGTATTATGTAACATATCCTACATGTAAACGCATACAACGAGATTGGTTAGCGGTATGTAAGGTTAAACCAAAGCCTACAATTGATGTGCTAGAAATGTACATTCATCGTCGATTAAACCAATATCGAACCCTTTCAAGAAAATGAAATAGAAGGTTAACACAATGTCATGCACATTGATGATGATGAAGTTCAATTATTGATTGATCCTATTGGAGCATTATTAGAATTGGACGGTGATGAAATAAATATTCGGAATGAATCGGAGTTAGAAACCGATGTTGAAGAAGACTTAGATGAAGAATGTGACAATGATTATAATGATAATAATTAGAGATAATATGATATATCCCATTAGATTATGTTATATTGTATTTTTTATTCAATTTATAAATTATGCACTTGGATTTTATGTAATTGTTGTTCGAATTTAAGGGTCTAGGCAACCTTGTCCTCCCAAGATGTTGGGATAGGTCGGTTTTATCCCTCCAAGTGTAATTTTTCAAACTATTTTAATAAATCTCCAGTGGTACCGTCCTCGTTCGTCACAATTTTAGGAAAAAAATTAGGTTTATTTGTATATTTACCTACATAGTTAATATATAATTTTGAAAGGAAAGATTTAATTAAATAAATATTTATGATTTATTGTTGTTTAGTATAAATCAATTAGTTCATATTAATTTGAATGTTATATATAAATATATATGCATTATATAATTCATATTTTATTTAACAACTATTGACTTTAATAATTAATATGTGGGTCATAATGACTCGAGGTAGGGGTCGTGGTTCGGATACCGATCGGTCCGACGGTGATCGTGGACGTTGTAGACACCCTTCTTATTTCGCTCACGATCGGATGGATCCCTCACCGGACATGCCTCCATACCACTCTTCCGGTGGCCTCTTCACATCCCGTTCCATGCATGTCATGTCTCGGCCATGACCTTTTGAACCTCCACGTCAACCTCCTTCATCTTTTCGGTCGTCATTGTCAATGCCTTCTTCATCACATCGGGACAATCGTTCCGTTCCTCAACACGTTCCACCCCACAATGTCCCACGTCAATCGGCTTCATAACCAATAACATCCGCGATTGACCATCGTGTACGGGTCATTGTCGTTGGGCGCAATGAGTATGGCTTATGCTTAATTTAATTAAAAAAATTTTTGGTTACCGTTATTATGTACTCCGTTATTTATGAATTTAATTAATGTTTATTTTTTTTAAGGTTGTATCCCTCCGATGTTTGCTCTTGCTCGATCATTAAGACATTCCAAGGGTACGTTCATTCTTCGGGATGAATGTGGAAAAAAATGACTCCGGAGATAAAAGATTTTTACCGGGAAGAATTTAAGGTTTTAATTTCTAAATTTTATTTAATTAATTATATTATTTAATATTTAATTAAATTGTATAAAATAATATGAAAGTAAAGTTAGTAGTGTTTATTATTTTTTTTGCGTAAATCATTTAAATGGGATGATGATTTGAACGAGAGCATAGTTAAGAAAGCATGAAAAAGTCTCGCACGTAAGCGATATTCGACTTCCTTTGTCGTTTAAGGAAAAAACCGAAGCCGACATATATCTCACAGAAATATGGGATGCATGGACTACGGAATGAACGAAACCCGAGGTCGTTGCTCGATCCGAGATGGCAACACGGAACCGTAGGAGCGAGACCGGTGGAGTCGGAGCCGGTCCTTCTAGACATACGGGGGATCAATCGGCCATAGAGAGCACGCCATACGCATGGTAAAAAAAAATTATTTAATTTATTTATAATTTTTTTAAAAAATAAAACCAAAAATAATTAATTAAACATCCGACTATATTTAATACATTTACATTTATTTATATATGTTTTCGGCGTAATGTGTTGGGTCGTGAACCCGATCCTCACGAGGTTTTCTTGAGGACTCATCGAGAAAGGTTAATGATCGGTTAGTCTTCGTCGATCAATGATCTAGGGTTATCGGAGTAAGTGATAACTTTGAAACATTATTTAATATCCGTTAGTTAATAGCGTTATTTGACAACCGTATTTGATGTGACGTGTTTCATAATTATACAAGAGACCGTACAAAGATTAATTAATGAGGAAGAGGTTGCTAGCCGACAGTCGGGAGGGACCGAAGCGACCGCACCCGACATTAATGACATCTTTCAAAGGGCCGTTGGTGGAGGAGATAATAGGAGGAAGAGGATGTACGGACTCGGCTCACATGCATCTCACTATTATTCAACCGTCAATGCGGGCTCATCTTCTCGCTACTTCCGGATTCAATGCAGTCGACGAGGCACGATTGAAGGAATTACAGGAGCAAACATCTACAAACACGATGCATATCCATAACTTAGAGGGTATCGTGAACGACTCTATAAGGCCAAGTGGCATCGTTGTTGGATACAACAATTAAGTTGAGAAACAATAGTCGAGAGCAGTTTATGATGATGTCACGGATGCGGTAGATGTTCATGCGGCATTTTGAGCGTGGTGGTAGTTCATCCGTCGTTCTCGAGATCGACAACGACTCGACCTAGCCTCCGGACGACTCCATCCACCCTTTGATCGATTCTGGACATTAACTTATTTTAGATTTTTTGTTTTCTTATATTAATCGCAATCGATATATCGTTTTTTTTATTTAACAATAATGTAAATTGTTTAGCGACGTTTTAATACATTTTGAATAATAAAAATTTACGTTTACGATATTTTACGAGATTTTTGCTACTTTAAAATTGTTACTTTTACCTCATTTTATTATTGTTTTAAATAAATTTATTTTTTCAATTAGCGACGGTCTTAGAAACGGTCTAGATCGTCGCTAAAAATAAAAATTACCGTTGCTAAAACGTTTTAGCAATCGTTTTTTTTTAATTCATACCCATCGCTAAATGACATTTATCTAATAGTGCGTCTTGTTAAGAAAATCCATAGCATCTCATTCTTTAGTTAATTCTCCCACAGTATCCTTCTTCTCCCCATCGATCATCAAGGTTGATATGGTGACAAGATGGCATTATAGATTTGAATCCAAAAATCAAGTCCGTATCACCTTCAAGAATCGCTTGAACTTTTGAGGCCCATCTCGTTAGCTTCTCTACCACCACACCACCCATCAACGCTTTTTCCGTAATCATGATATATTTAGTAAAATTCATTGCTTCACAAAATTCGAATGTGTTACCGTATGTGTCCGCCAAATTAAGAAGAAGAATCTCAACAACCCTCACGATTTGATTTTGAATGTCAAATTGAGAAGAAGATTTTTGCAATTTGATTGAAATCTCTCTCTCTCATTGAAATTATCTAAGAGACAAAAATTATAAAAATTTAAAACAAGTGAAACACCGACAACCATATTATTTTAGTTAACGACCAATCAAAATATAAAATTTACACATTTAACCATCAAAATAATTAAAGGACAATTTGTTTAGAAAAAAATAATTCAAGCAGGATCTAGATAGATCAAATTGATAATTTAGGTAGTTTTACTACAATTTCAAACAAAAAAAAAACCAGGGGTAAAATATGTCATTCCGCAAAAGAGAGATGGGTGCTTCTATTTTATTTTATGAAACAACCCCCAACTCTCTCTGTAATCTCTCTAATACCCCTTAATAAGCATCCCAAATTCCGAAAGATTAAAAGAAATGGCTCCAGCGAAGAAAGGTAAAGCGAAGGCAAAGTCAAACTCGGCCGAGTCAACTCAGTCAAAATCCACAGCTCCAACGCCTCAAAACAATTTCCCGTCTTGCATACGTGCAGTGCCTCCTTCCTCTGTCGCCATCGCCGTCCATGCCAAACCCGGCTCCAAATCCGCCTCCATCACTGGTGGGTCTATATACGCATGCAGAAGGACTCTGTTTTGATTCATTGTTTAAAACAAATTTGAAAGCTTTAATGGATTTTTCTGATGATATTGAATGTAGATGTCAGTGATGAAGCGGTGGGAGTGCAAATAGATGCACCAGCTAAAGATGGTGAAGCTAATGCTGCACTTCTTGATTACATTAGCTCTGTAAGTTTTTTTTTAAATTATTATTATTATTATTATTTTATTTCTCTCGCTTTATAAGTTGGTTTTTCTTGTTTTAATGTTTTGTGATAGAGGATTATAGGCTTAAGGAAAGGATTTTATTGGCTTTTATGATGCTATCCAAAATTCTCAAATTTTGATGTTTTATACATAGAAAGAGAGAGATTTAGAGTTTATAGAGTTTGATTGAATTCTGTAGAGGATGTACAGTTTGGAACGAAAGGAGACTTGTAGTGTGAGGGCTGGTGGCCTTTTTTTTTTTTTTTTTTTCACTTTCTGGAGAGAAATTGTGGAATGGATCCTTATGGTCCATGATTTGATTGAAGAGCGTTTTATTTTTCTTAGTGATTGGGGCTTGCAAGCAAAAGGGATGGGGAATCTATGGTTCTTAGTTTGATTGCTATATGGGTGATGAATTTGATGGATTCTAGATATGCGCAATGAGTTGGAAAACAGCATCAATGTGATTCAAGTGGAGTAGTTGGAAGTAGTTGAATAGTGATGCTTTTGATGGGATCACAGAATCTGTTCTTGTAATTAAGTCTGACTTTGTTAAAATGAAGTTTATTATGAAAGAGGGTTTTGCTGATACTTTTTTTTAACTATTATAAGGAGTATTTAGTTTCTTAATCCTTATTGGCATGCAGGTTTGCTATGCCACTGTATCTGGCTTTTTCCTATTTCATCAAGTTGGTGTAAATACTTGATCCAAGTTGACGGTTGAGTTAATTTTGAACACATATGGGATTAACAAATGTTTTTCTTTACTCATTTGTGGAAACCTTGAATGTCTAGGAAGAGTTTGAAACTGCCAAACTACGAAAGGCTACATGCATTAGGAGAGAGGTTATGATTTCATGTTGAGTGAAATACTCAACTGGGGATCCCTGGTGTAGGCCAAATAGCAGAGGGAAAGCCTCTCTATTCCACGTGATAAGTGTGATTTAGACCATTTAATCTTCTGAAAAAGAAATGATGAAGTGCTTGCATTTCAAATCATGACTGAACACAATTGAATAACTGAGAAGTCATTTCTGAAAATTTATGATTTCTTGTTGTAATACCTTGCGTTTATATAGAGAAGCTCTGTTTTAGTGGAAAGAAAGTTCACAAGTTTTGTTCTTCTCAATCAACAGGTGTTAGGGGTGAAACGAAGGCAAGTATCTATAGGCTCTGGTTCTAAATCAAGAGACAAGGTGGTGATTGTGGAGGAGGTAACTCCACAAAATGTTTTTGATGCTTTGGAGAAAGCATCCAAGTGCTAATGATTAAGAAAGAGAGAGAGAGAGAGATTTGGTATGCTTTCATTAACAAGAGATATGGTTTGCGTGATCTTATACTGAAAACAAGGTATTTGGATAGAACAACCCTGCTGGTCCATGCTGATGATTGAAATACTTCGGTCGTGATCTTATACTGAAAACAAGGTATTTGGATAGAACAATCCTGCTGGTCCATGCTGATGATTGAAATACTTCGGTCTACAGCATTGTTTCTGGCATCTCACATTGAAGCAGTAATCTTTTTATTTAACATTGTAAGTACAGAAGCTGTAGTTTTACTTATGAGTATAATGACTGATGTTCCATGAATATTGGAGTTAGATGCAAATTTATTCACCTTCAACCATGGTTCTTCTAGTTCTCTTCTTCTGGCTATTTATGCCATTAATAACTTTAGATTTAAGGTATTTGGTCCTCTGTTTCCTATTACTTATAGAGAATAGAATACCTGATTTCCGAAAATTTTGCCTGTGAAATTCCCTAGTGATAAAAAGAATGGAGTGAAGATATTGTGTCCCGAACAGAAGGCTAGTATTTGTTTATTGCAGCAGCAAGAGAGTTCTCAGCTCATACTTGGCCAGGAAAACAATTATCTTATTCACTCCTGCACTAGCATTTTGCCCTAGTTTTTTTCGCAAAGTGAATCAAATATAGAAAGGGGGAATTACTAATTAATTAGTTTTTGAAATTAGATGGTTATTTAATTCATTTTGCTACACAAGAAGGACTAATTTATAATTTACTCAAGACCTGATGTACTTACTAGTAAAACAATGAAGGAAGAAAGAAACTGAAAAAAACACACGCACGCATACATTTAGTGGAGAAATCCTCCTGATTAATAGGGTCCTCAAAACAAGCTGTTGGAAATCATCAGGACAGAATGCTAGTATTTGCTGAGACTTGTGAATAGCATTACCATCTTGAAATCCGGCCAAAAAATTGGTTTCAGTTTTCCTGACATAATCAAATATATGAATAATGAACCTCCTAAACGGTGCAAAAACTAGGAAAGACCGGAGAACAAAACGTGTAGAACTGAATAATATATAGCAATTTTATTAGAATATATGACAATTGAAAACTGACGCACAAAATACAGAAGGAATACAATACTCTGCCTGTGAATTCCTTATTCTGAGCTACTAAACACAACTTATATAGCAGTAAAAAAAGAATTAGGACTTGGAGGGATAGGGATTTCTACTGTCCCCTCCAACATCAACAGAACCTTTTTCATTGAAGGTCGGAGCGATGGCTCATCTAGAGTGCACCAAAGTCCCACTTTAACCATCCTCTCAAATTGTCTCTTGTCAGCAACTTCATCACCCGCTAGTTTATCCATACCACCATCCTGAAAACATTGGTAAACCCAAACTTCAAGAATAGCTTCTGCCTCTGGAAGACTGTAATCCACATTCTTTCGACAACATGTGATCTCCAACAACATAACACCAAAGCTATAAACATCTGCTTTAACTGTCACCGGCATATTTCGGTGCCATTCTGGTGCTACATATCCCCTTGTCCCTCTAATTCCAGTAAAGGTGTTAGTTTGGTCTGGCTTCAGCAACTTTGCCAATCCGAAGTCAGAAACTTTTGGGCACCTATATTTATCTATTAGTATGTTCTGAGGTTTTATATCGCAGTGAATGATCTGTGTCTCGCACTCTTCATGTAGATAAACAATACCCCTTGCAATGTTGCGAGCAATTTCCAACCTTTCAATGAAACAAGGCCTTTTTTCTGGGGAGAAGAGTATGTCAGCAAGGGAGCCATTGCTCATGTACTCATACACCAAGAGCCTATTATGTTCATCATGGCAGTAGCCGAGCAGACGGACTAGATTTCTGTGATGTGTTTTCCCAATAACTTTCATCTCATTCTGAAATTCTCTTTCCCCTTCAGCTAAAACTTTCTCTAGTCTTTTGACAGCAATAACCTTCTGAGTACTAGGTATTAACCCTTTATAAACTGTCCCAAAGGATCCTCTGCCAATTTCTTCCTTGAAACCACCAGTAAAATTTCCTAGTTCTGCAAAAGTGAAAGCTCGAGGAGCAAATTCCTGATTCGATCCGGTACCATCATTATTAGGCACCCTTTTGTATGCCAATACATGATATCTGTAAATGATTATTCCGAAAATCGCAAACATAACAAGCCCAAAAGCAACAAATGAAACACTTACTATTACGATTGTCCTGCTAGGTTTCTTCTTCTCAATTATAGGCTCATTTCTGTCCATGGGGGATATGGGTTTACCCACCTTGACCAAAGCAAAGTTCGTACTACCCATGTTTCTCCTTCCAAATCTCAAAGGCAGCCTTTGCTTTCTGCACTTTCCATCATCGAATAATGCTGCTTCACAGTTACAGTCTTCCAAACAGGCTTGCTCACAATCGCCTTTTGCTGTTACTGACAGAGTGGAGTATGGAACGTCTTCCCAGTCAGTAAAACGCACTTCTTCGATGGTGTATGCGCCACTTCCATTCTTGTCTTTGCAACTTTCAGCCCTGAAAGCCCTCTCACAGCCAGAAGTCCAATTCCCCTGGTTAACAAATGCAAATTGAGGAAGACATCTACATTCAGCTTCCAGATCGTTCATAACACAATATCCATTTAGGCCACACGATCCTTTGGGGTCACACTTATCTTCTGTGGATGACCACTCAGCTGACCAGTTTCCATTCCGTGTCAGATTTTTTGAATATATTCTGAAAATCCCATCAGCATCAAGTTTCATCATATTAATTGTTTCTTTTGTGGGATATCCTCCAACTGTAATGTTTTTTATGTTGAAGAGTGTGGCATTAAGAAGGTAGAGGTGGCCATCCTGATCAAGATTTAGTGTCACATTATCTCCATATCCATTTGTACCAGATGCCCAATAAGAATATGGAGCTGTATCTTGAGTATCAACAGGATACTGCACAAGGTGGCCATCATGTTGCATCTTGAGACGGTAAAACCCAGTTGAGTGGCCAGTTTCTGAAGCACTAGAAACCAGCTCTGCCCCTGCTTTGAGCTGTTGAGTTGGCAACAGGGTATCTGTTGGGTGGTCAAAACTCTGCCATATAATCTTGCCATCAGAATCATAGAGCATAAAGTTGCCTGAATCAGACATGGCAGCTAAAGAAGCTGGCTGGGAAGGTGAATCTATCAAAGTTTCATCCCCTTGTGCTGATTGCAAGACAACCCTGCCGTCACTGCTGAAGAGCAAGGTCGCATTGGTAGGGACCGGTGGATCATCCCGTTTTGCACTCCACACAACAGTGTTTAGTGAAATCCCGGCTAGAAAAACCCCTATAGAGTAGCCGTTGCCTTGTCGGTAAAATCCGAATGCATAAAGACCGGAAGGGGAAAACCATGAGGAATTTGTGAGAGGTGTTAAAGAAGATCGGAGACTTATGTTGGTTTGTCTTTGAGCTGAAGCTGTAAAAGATACAGAGAGAAGAAGAAAGAAAAGTATTGAAGCCATGAAATGGGAATTAGCTCTTGTTTGGTCTGTGAGTGGTAATTTAACGATATCTAGCAGTCAAGCACTCCTGTCTTTCTATGGATTCCAAAGTCAAGCCACTGAAATTGAATAGTCCATCCCCCATTCCCTCCACGCTCCCCTACCTAATTGTTGAGGAAATTTTTGCCCTTGCTTTTACGCTTTCAAAGTCAATTTAGTCAAGTCACTGAAAAACTGGTCAAAGTATAGGCATTGTTAAATTGTAAAGACAGACACACATGGATGAGACCTGTCGTCTAGGAAGTTATGTACATGGCAGTCTCGCTGGTCGCTGGTCGTTGAGCAAGCGGAGGTCAAAGGGGCTACACTCTTTATCGACGTTCGATGAAGATTTACAGAATACTAAGCTAAGTGTATAGGTATAGGTCATTAGACTTTTTTTTTTAATTATAATTCTAGTTGTTCATATTATAAATAGAGATAATATTATTTATATTTATAGCTATCACTTGATAAAATTCTAATAAAAAATCGAATGATCATATATCCTATGAAGGTGAGAAATAAATTAAAAATTTTCCTCCATCTAAGGACCCAAGATCAAACCGTTGAATCTGCTAATCATACATGCATGAATTTAAAACAATGAATAAAGAAAGACCTCTTGTACCACAGTGTCTAAATTCTTTTAGCGAGAAAAGTCGTCCAAGTGTCCGACTTCATTGATGATCCACACAGTTCAAATACCAACGAAGAAGCACTTAAAACCGATAGTGTGCTAGCTCCATCTTTTCTTATTTGTGTAGTGTTTCATATAGAAATTTATTTTGAGCAATTTTGCGATAACCTTAAAAGAGAAGGAAAAAGTATGGCTTACTAGCATTTTTGGAGAAAACTATTGTTTCTTTTTTTCTTTCTTTTGCTATATGCCCCTAGTAATGTTAGGGCTGGCCAAATTTTCCCTTTTATTTTGCTTGTGTTAGCCAAATTTTCTTTCTCTAAAAAATCTCTATATCCTACACTTTTCCTCCTATTTATAGAGGGAGAGTTTCCTTGTCTTCCAAGGATAAGCGGACAAGGAGAGGAGCGGCAAATAAGTCCTAATTGGACTTATAGTTATTACTTTCTTTTCCTCCAAAGATTAGAAGTTTATTTTACATGTGGACTTTTGATCATTATCTTTAAAACATTTATCCTTATCCAATAAAGATGTTTATCCTCCCATCAAAATATCTTAAGGCTTTTAATTAAACCTAATGGGCCAAAACCATTCTAGCCTAATTAATTTATTTGGACTATCCAAATAAATAATCTTATATTATTTTAAACGAGTCCACATTAGGAAATAATTTTTCAAAATACTTTTTAATCCAAATTAGGAAACTCATTTTCATTATAGGTTATTTATTTTCAAATTTGGAACTAACTTTCAAATTAGAAAACTGATTTTTAAAATAAAAAACTTTCCATTTTAGAAAACTTCCTAATTAAGGAAGCTTTCCATCTTAGGAAAATTATCATTTAAGGAAACTTTTCATTTTGGAAACCCTTTCCAATATAAGAAACTTTCAAAGTTGAAAACTTTTTTCTAATATCTTTGCTTTTTATTCATCATGTAAATACTTAAACTTATGCGTATAACTCAATAGGCTCCTAAATATGTTGGCAATGTATCAAGAATAAAAGACTTCTCTTTATCTCTTAATACATAAATCAAGATTGGCCTCTAACAAGACATCATGATTATCCAATTCTCTAAGAGGATTAACTAATTTATTATTACCTTTCATGAGCATGGTTATCATACAATTCGATCTTCATGTCAACTTATCGCAAGTGTGATCTCGAACTTGGTTATAAGGCTTATTCGATTATGATCACATAAGTTTTCTTCGATTCTAAAATATCTTAACTCTTAGAGTAAACCAGCTATGCTCTATTGGTGTACTCTTACCGTGGTCATAGATTTCTCGAGTAGACATTTATCGAAGTGTAATGTGATAACTCCTTTAGTATATAAGGAATGACATATCATATCTTAGTCATACACCTACCTCTATTAGATTTTTAGTGCACCTAACGAATCGCCTATGTGCAACCCTTTAATGAGTCCATCAAAACGAGTGTCAAAGTACATAAGTCCTCTAATAAGACAATCGTGATGACTTCAAGTTTAAAGACCATTTGTACCCATTTTGTATGAGATTCCCACGTACTAAAATTAAATGGGTTCTCATGGCAAATCAAGTCTAGTGATATGTTCTCTAACATGAATCACCTAACTGTTTGCTTTAGCATCACCATGCCAATAGGTGTGAGATCTCCTATCGCTATCATATAGTATGAAGCATAGTACCCACAAGTCTATCCACATATAGTCAATATCCATTCTTGACAATGCTATGACTTGGTATGTTTAATGATATCATTTATATGCATTAGTGTTTGTCTCACATTTTTCGATCAATCACTATTGCAAATGCATATTATAAGGACTTTTATCTAACTCTACTAAATTTATAAACATAAAGCTCAAAAATTAATAGAATGACTTTTTTATTATTATTAAAATAAAAAACATAATAATACATTAACTCAAGCTTATCCAAACATGATTGGATCTTAAGCACCTACACTAACACTTCCATCAATGATTGATCATATCGATATGTTTCCAATCATGCTATATAATCTGATAGGATAGAAAAACGTACGATTTGGTTAATTAAATTGCATAAAATAAAATAAAGTATAAATTGAAAAAGTAAAATCTATGTTCATTCATACTATTTTCTTCATGTTCTATAACCTTCAATATAGGACTCAAGAAAACTTTTTGATTTATTTTCTTAATGGATTAGGATCTCATCCTTTAATATGCATTAGCCTTGATTTATCTCAACAAGCCATACATGAAGGACTAGGTAAGTAATTCCTTACTAATTACATCCAATATAATTCTTAATTTCATTGGTATGATAACTCTTTGTCTTATCATATCTTATATGAATACCAATTCTTGCTAAGAAGTTTATTGGATCTTGAGTTATATCAATAAACCCAACAACTCATTTAAGTTAGATCCAACGTTCAAGGACATCGCATGGCTCATGATTTGTTTTCCTTGAGGAAGAAGTGACCTTAAGTTATCTTAATAAGTCAACAATGACCAAGAGTGTTCCCATCTCATAACGTTGAAAAGCAATTAACTTAATATTTTATTTGAAAGATTTAATATGGTTAGTCTCATTCTAGCATGCATACTAAACAATAATCATATTATTCCTAACATGTATACTAACATTGATCTCATAACATACATACATCTCTTGCATGACTCAAAATTGGTGAATAGTAATGAATTTCTAGTACTAACCCCCTCGAGCCACAAGGAGACTAGTGGATCAATACCTAGGTGAAAAATTATTATAAATTCTTTATGAATGTCTTCATTCCTTGGTGTCTTCTCCTTGTATCTATTCTACTTTCTATCTTCTACTTTTACATTTATTTGAAATAAGAAACCTCGAGTTACATTCGAGGAGAGTAAGACAAGAAGAGATAGAATAATAAAGAAGGCAAGACACGTAGGTCTTATTTATCCAAAAAAATATAAACATTCACTCATAAAACTAGGTCGACTCATCCATATCATTCACCCATGCTCGCGGCCGTAGCTTGGCCTATGCACCCAGCCTCATGGCCCGTCCCGCATGCCTAGCACACAACCGGTCGATGGGGTTGTTGTGCGTATGAGCATTGACGTCCAACGTCGATCTCGTGTGCCCCTACCGATTTTGACCCAAAATTCAGTTTTATGAAATACCAAAAACATAAGATTTATAATCATGCATAACTAATTCATACAGTTAATCATAATTAATAAATATACAATCAAAGATTTAATGGAGGCTCTAATATCAATTGAAGAATCATACATCCTATGAAGGTGCAAAATAAATTAAAAAACTTTCCTTCATCTAAGGGCCCAAGATTAAGCCGTTGAATATACTAATCATACATGTATGAATTTAAAGTAATGAATAAAGAATTATCTCTTGTAGCGTAGATCTAAATTCTTTTAAAAAAAAATCATCCAAGTGTCCGACCTCTATTGATGATCCACGTAGTCCAAGTACCTACAAAGAAGGACTCAAATTCGATAAGGTGTTACCTCCACCATTTCGATTTATGTTGCATTTCCTATAGAAATCTATTTTGGGCAATTTTGCGATAACCTTAAGAGAAAAGAAAAGAGTATGGCTTGTTAGGGTTTTTGGAGAAAAATATTTCCTACTTTTTTTTCTTTCTTTGTCGTGTACCCCTAGTAATTTTAGGACTCGGCCGAATTTCTCCTTTTATTTTCCTTATGTTGGCCAAATTTTCTCTCTCTAAAAATCTCTTTATGTCACACTTCTCCTCCTATTTATAGAGAGAGAGTTTCCTTATCCTCCAAGGACAAGGAGATGGGCGACAAATAAGTTCTAATTGGACTTATGGTTTTTTGCTTCCTTATCCTCCAAGGATTAGAATTTTATTTTACACGTGGACTTTTGATGATTATATTTAAAACATTTATCCTTATCCAATAAGGTTGATGTTTATCCTCCCATCAAAATATCTTAAGGCTTTTAATTAAACCTAATGAGACAAAACCATTTTAGCTCAATTAATTTATTTGGACTATCTAGATAAATAATTTTAGATTATTTTAGGCGAATCCACATTAGGAAATAATTTTTCAAAATACTCTTTAAGCCAAATTAGGAAACTTATTTCCATTATAGGTTATTTATTTCTAAATTTGGAACTAACTTTCAAATTAAAAAACTAATTTCTAAAATAGGAAACTTTTCATTTTAAAAAACCTCCTAATCAAGAAAACTTTCCATCTTAGGAAAATTCTCATTTAAGGAAACTTTTCATTTTGGAAACCCTTTCTAAAATAGGAAACTTTCAAAGTTGAAAACTTTTTTCAATATCTTTGCTTCTTATTCATCATGTGAACACTTAAACTTATGCGTGTGACTTAATAAGCTCCTAGATATATTGGTAATTTATCATGAATAAAAGACTCATCTTTCATCTCTTGATACATAAATCAAAATTGACATCTAGCAAAGCATCATGATTATCTAATTCTCGAGGAGGATTAATTAATCCATTATTATCTTTTATAAGCATGATTATTATACAATTCAGTTCTCATGTCAACTTATCACAGGTGTGATCTCAAACTTAGTTATAAGTCTTGTTCGATTATAATCATGCAAGTAGACCAACTATGCTCTATTAGTGTACTCCTATTATAGTCAAAGATTTCTCAAGTAGATATTTATCAAAGTGCAATGTGATAACTCCTTTAGCATACAAGAAATGATATGTCATATCTTAGTCATACACCTACCTCCATTAGATTCCTAGTGAACCCAACGAATCGCTCATATACAAACCTTTAATAGATCCATCGAAATGAGTGTCAAACTACATAAGTTCTCTAATTCTTTAATGAAACAACCATGATGACTTCAAGTCTAAGGACCATTTGTACCCATCTCGTATGAGATTCTTATAGACTAAAACCAAATGAGTTCTTATGATGAGTTAAGTCCAAGTAATATGTTTTCTAACATGAATCACCTAAGTATTTATTTTGACGTCACCATGCCAATAGATATGAGATCTCCTATCGCTATCATATAGCATGAGCATAGCGCTCACAAATCTATCCGTATATAGTCAATATCCATTCTTGACAATGTTATAACTTAGGACATTTAATGATATCATTTATATGCATTAATGTTTGTCTCACATCTTTTTATCAATCACTATTGTAAACGCACATCATAAGGACTTCTATCTAATTCTACTAAATTTACAAACATAAAACATAAGAATTAATAGAATGACTTCTTTATTATTATTAAAATAAATAATGCAATAATACATGAACTCAAGTCCATCCAAACATGGTTGGATCTTGGTCACCTACACTAACAAAATCCTAATACAGTCGTAGAATATACACAATTATCGAACCATGTAAATCTATGTATTGTGTGTATAAGGATAGCTTCTTAATCCCATTAGAATTGCTTTTTATATATCTATTTATCAATGAACACTTATCATTTAAGCCATAGACTTTATATAACTATAGCTTCGTAACCTCACAATAGACATGAAATATATACATTCTCTTAATCTCAACGTGGTATCAAAAGCCTAAAAAGATCCCTTCGTTCTCTATCTCTCTCTCTCTTTACTATTTGTTATCTCTCTCATGCTTTTCATCCTTTTTTTTCTTTTTTTCTTATTCTCATCAAACTCTAATGGCAAACCATCCCTTAGTGATCCTCTCAATTAGTTCCATTCTTCCAACCTCATCCTCTTCTACCTCTACACATCATACCTTTATTATCAAACTCACCACCAACAACTACCTATCATGGAAAGCATAATTTATTCCTCTTCTCAATTATCAAAGTTTAATCGATTATTTTGATGGATCATTGATCGCCCCACTAACAACAATCACTTCCGTTGTTGATCCACCAGTTAACTCTCTAAATTTGGCTTATCAAACCTGGTTTCACAAAGACTAGATATTAGATTCTTGGCTACTGTATTCTCTTACCGAGGACATTTTTCAATATGCCATTGGCCTCACTTTTTTCTTTAAGGTTTGGACAACATTAGTCGGTGTCTTTCGTTTTGTATCTTAGAATTACCAACTCGTAATTACACATTGAACTATATGAACTCAAGAAAAATGATCTCTTCATAATTGTTTATCAAATTATTGGTTGACGAACTTGCCATAACTAGTCCTCAAATGACTATAGTGGAATGCGATTATCTATCGCAACATTGGTAATAAATATCACAACATCATCACCGCACTCAATCTTCATCCCGATCCAATCCCTTTTCATGAGTTGTGTGGTTAGTTGGTTGCTCATGAGATACCGAAGAGTTGTTATTATATTCCAATGGCTAATCTTACAGTTCATAATCCATATCTATTCCCTACATCGCTATCTTTGTCTCCTAACAAATACGCCAATTATGTATCCAATGGCTATTGTAGGTTAAAAAGACCTTGCTAGATTTATGGACTATAAAATCATACCACCGATTAGTGTTGACACCGCTATCAATCTTAAACTCCTAGACCACCATAGACAAACTTGGCTTACACCCCTTTGGCCGAGTGGCGACCTTTGTTTCATACATGATCCCTAACTATGAACTTGTTCCACAATAACAAATGACTAACATGCCCAATGCCTTTGCTGCATAAGGCCTTTACTCTCGATCATGGCATCTAAACACCTGGAGCATCTCACCATATCATTCGAGATTTATCTACACTAAGTATGGCTCATGAGTATAAGGGTAATGATCAATTGAGTTTTATAAATGGACAAGGTTTCGCTATCTTTCACTATGGATTTTCCCATCTTTAAACTCCTCATCATAAATTTATGTTAAATAACATTCTACATGTTTCTCAAATATCCAAACCCTTTCTCTCTATTCAATGATTCACAATTGACAATAACTATTTTTTTGAATTTTGACCTACATATTTTCTTATTAAGGATCGAGTTTCCAAGGTAATCATTTTTCATGCCCCGAGTGAGCATAGTCTCTACCCTATGAATAAAGACACCGTAGCGCAAAACTTGCTTTTCATAGTGAAGTTGTGTCTCTTAATTAATGGCACACGCGAATGGGTCATCCACGAGCTTCAAACTATGAAAATCGATTACAATCCACACCTCGCTCCTCTCTTGGTTACTCTTCGTGTCATCTTGGCAAATTAGCATGAATTCCACTAGCTTTAGTAGAACATAAAAAAACAAACCATTTCACATTATACACTTCGATGTCCGGGGACTTGCCCTAATTCTTTCTTCCTTAGGACATAGATATTGTCTCTTCTTTATAGATGATTTAACTCTGTTATACATAGGTGTATTTTCTCAAAAAATAAAAGTGATGTTCTATCTAGTTTATAACATTTTAATGCCTATGCTTATTGCCAATTTAATGCTAAAATTCTAGCTTTTCACTCAGATTGGGGGTTGAATATCAAAAACTAAACATAGGTGTATTTTCTCAAAAATAAAAGTGATGTTCTATCTAGTTTTCAACATTTTAATGCATATGTTCATTGCCAATTTAATGCTAAAATTCTTGCTTTTCACTCGGATTGGGGGGTGAATATCAAAAACTAAACAAATCCTTCAAGGAACTTGGCATAATACACCGCATATCTTGCCTATACACATATAAATAAAATGGGTTAGCTAAATGAAAGACTAGACATCTTATAGACACTAGGCTTACTCTTTTAAATCATACCGATATTCCTTTAAAATTTTAGAATTGTGCTTTTGATACAGCTATTTACTTGATCAATTCATTACCAAGCTCTGTACTTTAAAACCAATCTCCATATCTCAAACTATTGAATAAGTCTCCAATCGACTCAAGCCTAAAAGTTTTTAAATGTGTTGTGTACCTTTTACTTCGCCCATATAACAAACATAAATTCTCATATAACAAACATAAATTCTCAAAGATAAATCTACTGGTCACATTATATTGCATGACATGTTCAATTCAATGAGATCCTTTTTCCATTCAAAGTCATTGAAGTTGTTACGTCACACTAACAAGATCATGACAATCAAGTTTATCTCATAATGTCCATTGACTCCTATGCTCATTTGGGTCCATCACATTTAGGTACTTCTTTTGAAACTTTATCCTCTTCCACTCATACTTCTACTCATGCACAAACTCTATCCCTACCTCAATTCCCTCATACCACACTTGGCCACACAATTGTGCTAACCCCAATGCCATATTCCATTGTCTAACTTACTCACCCATCTTCCACCAATATACCTAGCCTATTACCAATCATGGCCCAATAGACTAGCCCCCATCCACTCACCATACAACCTATCCAAGCTATTTCTCCCATCCATGACATTAGCCTACCCTCTAAAGCCTTCAACAAGTCATTATCCCATCATGATTCTACACCAATGAATAGATCGGATTTTATCTCCCATCCACCCTCACTTGGACTTCAACTTGTGGTTAATCTCACATCTTATACCAATGATCATCACAGGAGTTGTAGGGTAGTTCGTGATCTTGTTTTCACGTACTCTATGGCCCTACAACCAATAACTTAAAAAAGAAGAGAAGCCAACACCGTCATACTTAACACTTCCAATCCCGATTACTTATAAACCGAACCAACCTTATACTCCCAAGACAAACCCCATCTATAGTGGAGATAACTAATGATCGATGAAATAAAAGCCTTGTTGATAACAAGGATATGGACATTAGTTCCCCATCCAAGCAATAAGAATATAGTAAGCAATCGGTGGGTCTACGGAATCAAACGTTCTTCTAATGATGAAATTGAAGGCTACAAGGCATGACTTATCATAAAGGGTTATAATTAACAATCTAGAGTGGACTTTACCAAAAAATTTAGTCCGATTGTTAAGGCAACAACTATCCACACCATATTGTCCATAGCCACTCGTCAATAAATGGTCTTGTCACCAATTAGATATTTCAAATACTTTTCTCCATGGCCATCTCAAAGAAGAGGTTCGCATTGAACGACCACAAGGGCATATTGATTCTTAACATCCGGAGTTTGTATGCAAGTTAAATTACTCACTTTATGGTTTAAAGCCAGCTCCTCGAGCCCGGTTTCACAAACTAAGTACTTTTTTAGCATAAGAGGGTTCTTCTCAACCAAGGCCGATAGTTCATTATTAACTTTAATATTGGGGACTAAAAAAAATTTTCTTTTTATTTATGCGGATGATATTATCATAACAAGCTCCAATTTAGCAGAGGTAGAGACATGATTAGCAAGCTACGAGATGAATTTCATATCCGTGATCTTAGGTAGCTACATTATTTTTTAGGACCGAAAGTGCACTCGCATGCCCATCGGAATACTCTTATCACATCAGCAATATGTAGAAGATTTATTACACAAGTATGGTATAGTAGAAGCAAAAGAGGGCCTTACTCTAATGGAAATGACGCCTAAATTTTCTAAAACCCATGATGAATCATTACAAAATGGTAAAGTTTATCTTCCACTAATCGGTGGTCTTCAATATTTGACGATGACGTATCCCGACTTATTATTCACTCGTGAACAAGTTAGGGCAATTTATGCACACTCCTACTAATAAGCATTGGAAGGCATTGAAGTGTTTGATACGGTACTTAAAACACTTATCTACACTTGGTCACTTCTTAGCGAAAGACTCACCCATGCAAGTTCGGTGATACTCCATAGTGATGGAGGTGGATGTCCCGATGATCAACGATCGGCAAATGGTTATGCATTATACTTAGGGTGCAATTTAGTCTATTGGCAAGCTAAGAAATAACCCACCATCGCAAGGTCCTCAACTGAAATTGAATACAAAGCCATAACAAACACTATAACGAAGTTAGTTTAAATACAATCTCTCTTGATCGAGATTGGTTTTTCATCATCATCTACAACCACACTTTGTGTGATAACATTAGTGCTATTTATCTTTCAAGCAAATTCAATTTTCTATGCTCATACTATTAATGTAGATACCTAAAATTCAACCATGTTTGAATAGGTTTAAGTTATTGTATTATTACATTATTTATTTTAAAAAAGTCTTTCTATTAATTCTTATTATTTATATTTAGTTATTTATTGAATAGAATTAGATAAAAGTTCATACGATATGTATTTTCATTAGTGATTGATCGAAAGATATGAGATAAGTATTAGTGCATATAAATGATATCATTAAATGTCCTAAGTCATAGCATTATCAAAAATGGACATTGACTATATATGGTTAGACTTATGAGTGTTATACTTATGCTATATGATAGCAATAGGAGATCTCACACCTATTGACATGATTAATGTTAGAGAACATATCATTGGACTTAACTCGTCGTAAAAACCAATTTAGTTTAGTCTATGAGAATCTCATATGAGATGGGTACAATTAGTCTTTAGACTTGAAGTCATCACGATTATGCCATTTGAGGATTTGTGTACTTTGACACTCATTTTGATAGACTCGGTAAATGGTTGCATATGGGTGATTCATTAGATACACTAGGAATCTAATAGAGGTAGGTGAATGATGAAGATAGAAAATTTCATTCCTTATATGCTAAAGGAGTTATCACATAAGCACTTTGATGAATGTTTACTTAAGAAATATGTGGCCATAGTAGGAGTACATCAATAAAGTATAGTTGGTTTATCGTAAGAGTTAAGACATTTAGGAATAAAAAAACTTACATGATTGTAATCAAACTAGACTAATAACCAAATTTGAGATCACATTGTGCTAAGTTGACATGAGGACTGAATTGTATGATAACCATACCGTGAAAGGTAATTATAGGGCAATTAATCCTCTTAAAGAATTGAGTAGTTTTGATACGTTGCTATGAGGCCAATCTTAATTTATATATCAAGAGATAAAAGAGTTATCTTTTATGATTGATACATTACCAACATATCTAGAAACCTATTGAGTCACAAGCATAAGTTTAAGCATTCACATAATAAAAAAGATGTAAAGATGCTTGGAAAAAGTTTTAAATTTTGAAAGTTTTCTCGTTTTGGAAAAGGTTTTCGAAAAGGAAAATTTTTCTAAAATGAAAAATTTTCTATTTTAGAAATCATTTTTCTAATTTGGAAGTTAGTTCTAAATTTAGAAGTAAATAACCAAAAAAGGTAATTAGTTTTCTAATATTGGTTTAAGGCTAATTTGGAAAATTATTTCTTAATATGGGTCTCCGAAAATTATCTAACCTAATTTATTTGGATAGTCGAAATTAATTAATTGGGTCAAAATAGTTTAGGCCAATAGGTTTAATTAAAAGTCCGAAAGATATTTTGGTGGGAGGATAAACATGAACCTTATTGGATAAGGATGAATATTTTAAAGGATAAGATCAAAAAGCTCATAAGTATAATAACTCCTAATTCTTCGAGTATTAAAAAGCAACAACCAAGAGTCCTTTTTAGGACTAGTTGCCGCCCCTCCTTGTCCTTGGAGGAGAAGGAAAACTCTCCCCCTATAAATAGGAGGAGATGTAGGACAAAAAGAGAGAGAATTTTTAGAATTAATATTAGAGAGAAAATCAGCACAAAGCATAGAGAATCAAGGCACACGACATTGAGCAAAATTAGGAGAAAATAGTGTTCTCCCTAACCCTAGCACACACCACTTTTCCCTTTCTCTCTTCGGGTTAACATAAAATTACCCTCATTAGATTAAAAAAAAAAACACTAAACAAGTTAGAAAAGGTGGAGCCAACACTCTACCAATATTGAACGCTTCTTTTATGGGTGCTCGAGTCGTATAGATTATCGATAGAGGTTGGACACTTGGACAACTCCTTTTCGCAAAGGTTTAAATCGCACTATAATAGGTAATTCTTGACTTAACTTTTTAATTCATGAATGTATAGTTAGTTGATTCATTGGTATGATCTTAAGCCTTTTAGATGGAGAAATTTTTTTTTTTAATTCCGTATTTTCATAAGATGTATGATCCTTCACGCACTAAACACATTGAGCTTGATTACCACTTTGTGCACGAATCGGTTGCCTCCGGGAAAATAAAGGTTGCCTTCATTTCAAAAGTAGGGATTTTGCATTTGGGTAAACCTCAATAAAGGTCATACTTTTCCTCCAAGTTCAACTTAAACTCGCATGGATGCTTATTCTTTGTTTTCGTATAAACTTCCCGCATGCCCTTTCGTTCCAAGGCATTTTCTCTAAAATCAACCTAATTTTTAGAAACTTATAAGTATTGACTCACACAATAAATAGTTTTGTTTCAAGTTTACCTTACATTTGTACCATATATTCTTCAAATTTATTTTATTGGGATTCTCTATTATTATTATTATTATTATTTTACTTGATTGGGATTCTCTATTTTTCAAGATTTCTTGATTCAAATCTTCTCATATAACCTCACTAATCAATTATCGGCACGCCATCTCTATTATTTAAAAATTTTTACTTTATAGTTACGTGACAATCACCGATTTGTGGCATTATAACCGAGAGGCTGAAGCAAGAATCTCAAAGAATAAAAAATCTCAATCAAGTAATAAATAAATAAAGAGTTTCAATTAAAAAAAAAATCAAAAAATACATGATCAAAATGTTGTGTAAAAAAAAAAAACTTGTTTTTCATTCTGATTTGAACCTAAGAAAGTAGCAAATGTAAAAAAGAAATTTTCTTATAAATGTACTCATTAGAAAATGGATAACCTACTTGATCGTTAAAATTCAATTAAAAAAGATTGGTCTCCATATACAATAGTTAGCTTAGAACTATGAAAATTGGAACACATTGGAACATTGACTATGGTCACACTTATTTTGCAGGTACAAGGACGTTGGGAAAACGTAGAAGTAATGCACCGTTGACTTTAATGACTTTTTGGTTAGAGAGATTAAGGTGGTCCCAGTAGAGACTGAGTCAAGGTAGAACCAAACGTAGAAACGGGAATGGACAGAGGTTCAGGAGATAAGTGGGAGCCATGGGCCCAAGAGTCAAATATTTTCAAAATTACAATCCATCAAAATACTGCATCCCTGATGCCCAACTCCCTTTTATTCTCTCTCTTTCTCTCTCTCTCTCTCTCTTCCTTGGTCTGTTATAGGACTTTTTTTTTTTTTTTTTTGTGCACACTTGAACCCCATTTACTATTTAATTTGAGATAAATAAATATATTGTTCTCTTTCACCTAAAACCTAAGGACATCTGAATTTTATGTCATACATTATTATTATTATTATTATTATTTTTTGATATTATACTTTTTTCATGACTTAATTTATCCTTATATTTTAGCTCATGGTTGACTTGATGGTTTTATAATAAAAAATATTTTTTTTCTTAATAGGATTAAAATATTTTTAATTTATTAAAAAAATATTATCTTTTTACCGGTCATACTGATAAATATTTGCTACGAAACAAATGCATTTACTAATAAACTCTAATACCAATTGAATGTAAAATCCATCTTGAAACGAATTAAAATTCTATTGAATATATTTATATATTCAATACAAAATTTCTTATATAGTGAAAGGCTTTTATATATATATATATATACCCATTACTTTCAATTGAAATCCAATTGTCTTACTATAAGTTTGATATTGTACTAGGGAGGCCCATACACAAAATTTAGGATAATTAAATTCCTCCCTTTCTTTCTTGTTTTTTTTTTTAAGCCACTTTTTCAAGGAGAAAATAAAGAGAACCGAAGGACTATACTGCAAACTTTGTTTGACAAATACATTTTAAGAGAAAGGATATGAAATGATCATAGGGCTTGCAGTGGAATAAAATTAGGGTTTCCTACAAACCCTCAAACCCCCCAATAATTGTAAAAAAAAAAAAAAAAAAAAAAAATTCTTTTAGTTTAAGTTTTACAAATTTTTTGTCTCATTTTTTTCTCTCTTAACCTTTATTTTTTTTCTATCTAATTCCAAATCTATTCTTTCTTTAGAATAAATAAAAACATTCTTGACTTATATTTTTATAATTACAAAACCAAACCTTACATTCCTCATTCCAACCAGAAAAAAAGGGGGTTCACAACCTTCCTTTTCTTTAATTCATATCTAAATAAGAAAATGATTACATATGTTAGAAAATTAAGAACTTGATGTTCAACAAACCACTACCAACAATCTAATTCAGTAAAAATAAAAATAAATAAAAATTAGACATACAAGATTTTATGTGGTTCAGAAAAATCTGACCTATTTGACAAATCCTAAATAATTCTTTATTATGAAAAAAATATTAATACATAAAAATTAGACCTTCAAAAGTGAAAATCACTTGTTAAACCTTGTTGATGTGAAAAATAATAGTGGAATTGTATCCTATTTTCATTAAGAAAGTATTGTGCAATATATATATGATGTTCCACCTCTATTTAAAGTGAAAAAGAAAACACTTAGCTGAAAAAAATAATAATCAAATTTATGTAGCCTATAATATTAAAGAATCATGCTTACCTAAATTTCAGAAAATTCTTCATTGTTCAATGAGAATAATCTATATATTGTTCAATTGAATTGGAATAACGAAGGTAATTTTATTACGTGAAAGCTTTAAAGAGAGAAAAAAATATGTAATTATATTATATGAGAGTAATTTATGTAATTAAAAGAGGATCCAATGAACTATTTTCCTTTAATTGTTTCTTCGATCTAATTTGGCCCTCAATCTAAAAATATTCTAAGAAATATTCTTAGCTTTTTTCTTTTTCTTTTTCCAAATTCTATTTGCAACGTGGCTAGCTATAAGAACAAATTAAAAGAGATGCACGAAAGTTTGGAGTATCTCAAATTAAATATGACTAATTAAAAGTTAGATGGAAGAGGCTTTTAATTAGAATTTGACATAATTAAAGAAAAAAAAATCTGATATTAGAAAACTGCCAACACGAACTGCTCCCATAATGCAGCACAAAAATTGCCTCGACAGGAACTGTTTCATTAATCGCACCATGCTATTTACTCAGCTTTTAATCATAAGAATAATTAAATTTACAAGAGCCATTGACGAAATAGTATCCATTCAATAGTTGATATTTTTTTAATAAATAAATTGTGTAAAATAATTATGTATGATTAATATTATTTTGTCGGTGTACTTAAGAATCTATGTTCATTGTTATTTTACCCCAATCGATATCTGCAGCCTTCTCGAGGAGATTAATTGAGGTTACAACTTACAAGTGGAGCTAGAACCTCATTGCTCCGTGACGTGATATTCTCTTCTTCTTCAAATAATAATAATCATCATAATAATAAATTTTCCAACCAAAAACATGAAGACTATAAAATTTGAAAGAGAAAATAGATGACATATATAGAAATCACAACAGTGTTAGCTGGATTCAATAGCTCCTTAATAATTAAAAAAAGAAGAAGATGATATACATGGAGTAATGCTTGATTAAAGTGAATTACAAAGTACAAACTACTGGCCTGAAGGCTAAAGCAGTCAGAAATCACACACAAAATAATAATAATAATAGTAGTAATAATAAAAGGATGCATGAGGAGCTACTTTATGCATGCAAAGCCAAAGCTGGTGATCATACTTATCAGACGGTGATGACAGCATCCATGAACTCCATTTCATTTTCTAGAGCTTGCAAAGTCTCTGGAGAAACACAGACTTCAACCTCCACACTCCCTTCTTCCACTCCAGGATAAAAAATTATCTTCCCATCAGACATGCTTCCAGACCCACTCCGAATAGCAACTGGCTTTCCCCAACCAAAGTCAGCACCAACATTGAACCTCGGCGAACCGGTTATAGAAAAAAGATGTTTAAATGGTAATCTACCCAATATTACTGGTCCAGGATTCTGCATCAAAGAATCTATTATGGATTTTGCCTTGCCTTCTGTGTGTGAAGAAATCACTTTGTTTATCTCTAGAGCTACATAGCCAAGTCCACCCTCCAACATGTCTCTTGCTTTCAGAATTACTATACCAGACACAGCTGTGTTCCCTAGATAATGTTCCGGCAAAGGTGGCCGCAATCTTGACCTTAAATCACTTTGTTCATCAGGGTCAACTTGCCGACTTCGAGTTACAGATCGCCAAATGAGAGCCACCAGTGACTGTAGAGAGGAGATTGTATGATCAGTGCCAGCTTCAGCATTGGCTTTTGCTTTGAGTCCTGCAATTTTGGCCTTGCTGATGTGAAAATGCCTATCTTGTAGTTGTTGAGTATTGGAGGTAGTTTTAGAGTTGGTTTTGAGGATCGAAAGAGGAAGGCGGATCGGCGGGCAACTGGTACCATTAAGAAGTAACCAACGTTCAAGAACGGGAGGCTTGGATATCTGACCGAACCCCCGACAGATTTCGGACGATGAATTGAAGAAATTCCAAAGCGATGGACCATCAACAACGGAATGATTCATCGTACAGCTGATAAAGATGCCATCTACTAGTTCGGTAACTTGAACTGCAAGCAATGGCTTGGAAACAGACTCGGAGTCTTTTACCTCATTAGATGGAAAGAAAGAGTAAATAATTGGAGGAACAAACACCGGCTCGAGGATGTCAGCAAGGGCTACACCATCAACAACAGCATGAATAAATCGGGCTACTTCATTGTTGCAATCAATAAAATAAGAGACAGTGTCGTCTTCGCGTTCAATTGTGGCTAGGCGGCCTGCAAGGGGACTGAAAAAATCAAGGGTGCGAGAAATTGACGTTTTCAATTGTTGGACTAGTGAAGTTTCATGGAATTTCTCATTTTCTGATGGTTTGGGTTTGCGGAAAGCAAGCAGCTTTTGGATGTTAGCAATTAGAAGGAGGTTTAATTAGATCACATTGAGTTAGCTGAATTTTTTGTGTTGTTTCCATATTAGTTTTGGCTTGAACCATACTTGTGGATATATGGCGGATGCTAGCCATTTTCTTTTGTTTTAGCAAGGCTAGACTCTTTCCACAAGCTTACTTATTGATGCACCATTCCAGTATTTATGACCTGAAAGATAAAAGAAAGATTTGTAGCAATAATTTGTTCGACAGGGTAGTGGAATAAAATACTTGAATAAAAACCAAAAAAAGGAAAAAAATATATTTGTTTAAATTTCTTGGTGGCAGGAGAAAGTCGGGTAAACAATAAGATTCTCATTTGGATGTAATTGTCGCTATCCGACATCGGACGAGACTTCCAAAAAATTTAAGATTTATATATATTTACGAGTTATTTATAAGTTTGAAGTCGCCACCTAGTATTGAGAATTAAGAACATAAAATGGACAACTGGTTTAGCGATTCTAAGACAAGGATTTGGTTACGTTTTGGGAAGATATTGATCACCCAAAGACGTCATTTCTTAAAAAAGGTACTATATCCGGTTTAGTCCTAAATTCATCTCTTAAAATGTTTTATTTACGTCAAATTATTTTCAGTTTTAAAAAACTCTAATTTTCTAAGTCAAAAAATATTTTTTATTTTTTGGACGTGGCATCGTATTGAAACGATCGTCGGACCCTTTCGTCGGAAGATACATCGGTTTAAACATCGGATCCACTTTAAGCCTCAATACAATTGATGTATCGAGAGAACATCCTAATTATTAAAAATAATTTTTTTTACTAACAACAATTCATATTAGATAAGAGACTTTGTTAAAGGTTTTATGAGTCAAATTAAATTTTTATTTTTTTATTGGTGAAAAAATCATCATCAATCCTTAAAAAATAGGAGACTCTTTATCCATCTATTGATTGCTTAATCTAATTGTTGATATTTCAGAAAAAATTGTCATCGGTCCCTAAAAATTTAGGAGACTTGACAATTCACCCACCAATTAACTATCAGTCTAATTATCGACATTTTAGAGAAAACCGTCACCAATCTTCTAAATCCCTAAGAATTTAGAAGACTCGATAATTTACCCATCTATTAGCTATTAATCTAATTACGAAATGAAATCCTAATACAAGGAATTAATCATTATTTTTTTTATTATTATTTTCAATATATAATCATCATCGATCTCTAAAAATTAAGAGACTTGATAATTCATATATCATTTAATTATCTAAACTAATTGTAGAAACTAAAATTTTGAAGTTAAAATTTAATTAAAATTAACTAGGTGGCATTCTAAAAGACTAGAAAAAAATCTAAATTAAATAGGACAAAAAGCACACAAATAAACAGTCAAAATAAATCATCTAAAAAAAACATGAGTAAATAAAATAAGACAAACTAAATAAATGTTTTTTGAACTAGGACCAGGCTGGGCTAAAACCAGTCCATCTTTCCTTTCGTGTGGATCGGGATTTCTCCAATCCAACATCTCCTATTTCACAGGACTTGGACTAAGCCCACAAACAAAACCAAAAAACCTTTCTTTTATGTTTTAGATCAAACGAGATCAGCTGCTTCCCTATCTTCTTCTTGTTCATCTAGTCATTTCTCCTACGTTCTTTTTTTTCTAAACCTAGCAGTTTCAACTGAACATTCCATTAAAAAAAAATCTTCTCCATACTCCATGCTAGGGTTCACATAGTTCTCTCAAGATCCTCCTCAATCTCTCCTCATCACCCAGACAACACCTCTACATAATATACTGCATTCATGAAGATAGTGAATAATTCACTGTCATCTTGCTTCCTTTATTCCAAAACAGACCTAAAATACACTGAGATTGGAAAATAAAAGAGATTAGATATTTACCTGTCACGCTTGAAGAGTGATATTAATTTGAATGGAGAAACTAGATGATAAACCTTCGTCTATCATCTTCTTACTTTAGTCTGAGACAGAAGGATTTGAACTCGCGTTTCCAACTGATCCTAGGTTCCTACCCTTCACCTTGAATACTACATGACTCAACCAGCAAAATCTTCAAACTCAGAGGATGTCCAGTCCTATGAAAAACCAAAACATTCACTGCCTTTTTTCTTTGCTCTGTTTTGCTTTCCTTTTTTCGTCACCCTTCTCTCCTGTTACTTGTTGCCTCTCCCTTTTCTCTGACTCTCTGTTATGCTCTTTTTTTTTTCTTTTCTTTCGTGCTATCTGTTTTCCTCTCTCTGTTCCTTCTTTTTTTTGTTCGTTCCTCCTACTATTTATATATGTTCAGAATTTGTTGTGGAAAGTGGGCAACTGATAGTTAATGGAGTAGAGGTTGCGGGAGTTGTGGGGAAGGTTATAGAGAATGGGCAGCTGGTAGTTAATGGAGAAGGAGTTACGGGAGTTGTGGGAAAGGTTGTGGAGAGTGGAAGTGGATAGTTGTGGGGAACCTGGATCCTTTCCAATGGAAGGACAGCTTTGTTACAAATTGTAACAAACTATTACGCATGCCACCGTTCATTTCTTTCTTAAAGAAGAAGAGAAACAATAAAATGTATCATTTTATTCACTGACGAATGACAGGTCATCCTTGGCCGAATTGTCAAATTTATCCTGTCGTCCGCTTCCTCCTTTCGATTCAGTCCCTGCCCATTGCGATTTTCTTGCAATTGAACCCTTACAAATAATTATTTGAGTCCTTTTAGTTTCAATTATTCCCAATCCCCTCTTAATTTCTTTCAATAGTTTCTCTACCTTTTTGGTATTTATAAATTGACCCATAATACTTTTAAAATAAATCACATTTGAATCCTTAAAAGCAAAATTGATCAATTCCTTTTTTTTTCTTTTTTTTTTGTTTTGACTTTCCCTCTTTTTTTTTTTTTTTTTTTTTTACTTATCAATTTAATTTTAATAAAAATAAAAATAACAAAATAATAGTATTAAACTAAATCATAAAACAAAATGTAACTCAATTTTTTTGTTATAATAGTTGCTCTTTCTTTACAATGCTTATAATACAAAGTTAAATGAAAAAATTATTTTTCAATGACTTTGTATAATATGCTTGTAAAGAAATTCTCTCTTTCCTTTTTTTTTTTTTTCCCTTCGGTTTGGTTGTTATGGGCAACCTCCTTTGAAAAAATGAAGATGTGAGAGAATGGTCTTGCTATGAAGGGTGACTCGCTCTAAAAATTAAATATACAATACATGATCATATTCGTTAAAAGAGGCATATCTTGAAAAAATAAATATGCGATACATGGCCATATTCGTTAAAGGCGACATGCCTTGAAAAAACAAATATGCGATACATGAAAAATTAAATATATAGTTTATAGTCATGTTCATTAAAGGCGATCCGCCTTAGAAAAGCAAATATTCGAGTACATAAAAAATTAAATATGCGGTATATGACCATATTTGTTAAAATCAATCAGCTTTGAAAAAGTAAATATGCGGTATATGATCATGTTCGTAAAAGGCGATCTCGCCTTGGAAAAACAAATTTGCATTGCATAAAAATTTAAATATGCGATACATGTTATGTTCGTTAAAGGCGACTTGCCTTGGAAATATGAAAAATTAAATATAAATTATATGGTCATGTTCATTAAAGGTAGCCTATCTTGAAAAAATAAATATGTAGTACATGGTCAAATTCGTTAAATGTGGCTTGCCATAAAAAATAAATATGCGAGTACATGAAAAATTAAATATGTAATACATGGTCATATTCGTTAAAGGCGGTATGCCTTGAAAAAGTAAATATGCAATGATTGCTAGGCAACTTTGATTAAAGCAATGAGTTGAATTTGGTGATCTTACCTAAAAGTAAGAATAGACCATTAACTTTTGGGTTTTGTACTTAAGCGGTAGTCTATTGTGATGTGACCTTACTTGAAACAAAACTTGATATGATGGTTAGTTAAGATATCTATAAGAAACATAGGCTACACTCGCTCAACTCCCCTTTTACCTTTCTTTTCTAGTTATCAAAGTTACGACGTTGGACTATTATCTATGATCCGAGCACTATGACCTTATCCCTCAATCGGGTTTTACCTTTTCTATAAACTTCGGTTTATCTATTCTTTCAAATGTTTACCGAGATAAACTCGGCCCTTCTATCCCATTGAATGTAGTAATCATTTCCTTTTATGATCAACTACTTAATTGACTATTTGTATCTAATAATATCATGTTCGATGTATGTTTTCTTTACCAATATTCTTTATGACTTGAGGTTTCATATGCATCTCAAAATGTTTACACTTTTGTATTTTGTGAATCCCTCTTTTGTAAGGAAAGCTAGCTAGATTTCAATTGGAGATGTTGGGTTTTAAGTTTCAATATATCCATATGTATACTTCAAATACTTGTCATGCAAATGCAATGATATGATCAACTTTGTGATTTTTCTTTTGCATTTGGGTTTAGTGAATGTCCGGCTTATGAAAAGAGTTATTTAATTATGAGAAAAGGATGAGCTCTATCCCTTAAGGATTATTACACTTTGATACCCAATGTGATTTCACATGACATGTGTCTTAATTTTGACTATTTGTTTTTCATAAAATTTTATCATGGTCGCTCATAGACTAAGACTCATATGACTAATAGGTCATATTTAGTTAGAAGGCCTTTCATTGGCACGTAATATAGGTTATGGCATTGATTTCTTGAAGAATAGTTTATCATGGTCTGGAATGGTGTTTCGGGGTTTTGTTGACATTGGATCACTTTGAAAAACTTTTATCTTTTTTTTTTTTTTTTTGTGGACATGTCCGATGTCGATGTTTAGTTGATATATCTCACATTTTCTTTTTATGTTTCGGAATAGATCTTATGATGCAAGCCAAACTCTTTACCAAGTGAGAGTTTTTTTTTTAAAGAGAGAGAGAGAGAGAGAGTTTGACTTGATCGCGAGTCCTCTCTTTTGAATTTGAACTTTTAAGCTTTTTTTTTTAAGGCAACGGAGTTATTTAGCGACGGGTTTGTTAGATCGGTTCCCATGATGATGATTTTTGAATTTTTTTTTTTAAAATCTCATTTTTTAGCTTTTTGACTTTTTACCCCTAGTATGGGGGTGATCCTAGTCCGGGTTCTTATGAAAGAAACCAAAGGCTCAAAATAGGACTCCAAAGGATAAACTTGATTTTGAGTAAGATAAAGTTTTCAAAGATGGCCTTTCCTCATTCAAAAGGCAAATTACATAGCTCGATGAGACTCATTCTAATGCTCTTCGTGATGAGATGATACTTAAATAACACGTATGATTTGGACACATGTCATGTAGCCATCACAAGAGGTTCCGAGTGATTTATTTCCCCTAGGGTGAGAGTAACTATATTAGTATTTATTTTATTTTATTTTGGGTTTTCTTTTGTTTGGCAACCAATCATTGGGTTTGTATGACATTTCTCGAGCATCAATTAGATATATCTATTTCTCTCTACCGTAAATATCATTTTATTTGTCTTTATTTTAGCTGAATAGAATGTTGAGTGATCACCTCCAAATTGAAATCTTGATCGTTTCGCTTAGTCGGGAGTGATTCCTTTAATCGATTCGATTTGGAAAGGCATACATGACCTTAGTATCTTCCGGGTTTGTTAGCACCTAATTTTTTCTCCCCTTTATTTATTTATTTATTTTTATTGTTACAAAAATACCAAAAAAAAAAAAAAGAAAAACAAATAATAAATGAAAACAAAAGTGGAAAAAGAAAAAAATCAGTTGGGATAATTAGTTTAGGTTAATTAAAAAAAAAAAGAGAAAGAAGAGAAAAAAAAGAAAGAGTGAGGGGGCTAATTGAAGAAATGAAAAGTCTAGAGGTGAAAAATGTGCAATTGAGGTTCAATAAAAAAAATCAAAACTCTCGTCCTTTAATTAAAACAAGAAGGGGGTATAATTGAAGAAAAATTAAAGGAAAAGTCCCAATTAATTGGGATTTAAAGGGGCTCATTAAAGAGAAAAATGAAGATTGAATTTGAATTAGTGCATGGGAAGAAATCAAGGACTAAAGCGATATTTGGCCCAAAAACCTACATATAAAATCATCCCCTACATTTCTTTATACCAAGGACTATTAATCATCACCCACAAAACACTACCAGCCGCCATAGACACCAAAACCCGAGTTCTCTCCCTCATACCAAAGCTCACTCCCCTCGCCCATAACTCCACCACAACCCTCTCCCCCTCACTTATAGCCATCACAACACCAACACCCTTCTCCCTTGTAACGACCTTACACGGACACCACGACCTCGGCCTTCTCCCACGCAAGCCTTCGTCGGTCTCGTCATAACCTCGGCCTTTTCCACGCTAAGCCATCCAACACGCCGCCTCTCGCCCTACGCACATCCCACGCTAGATTGCATTAGCCTCTCGCCCCTCATGCAAGCCTCAAAAGCATGCCTACGGCCCCTCCGGTTCCGCCTCACACCTGCACCGGCCTTGCCCAAACTCTCCCTTTTGCCTCAAACCCCAACATCCGACCCTCCTCCATAAACACACCAAACACCCCTTAAAACTCAGTCTAAAACCCCTTAAACTTAACCTCAAATATTCCTCAAAATACCCCATTTCGTCCCACAACAAAGCTCCAAAGTATTCCAGAAAACAGAGACCCAAAATAACCCTTAAACCCACCAAAAACCCTTCGAAAGTCATCCCCGTAACTATTACCAGCAGACCCCAAAAACCCTTGCAGAGAAACCACTATGAGCCACTCATTTAAACCAAAAAAAATAGCCACTAAAGCACCCTCAATCCTTATTTAAGATATCCCTAAAAAACATCCTAAAAATGCCCAAAACCCGGACCCAAAATAGTAATCAATAGCAGCCTTTACAACCCCGTAACTACCACTAACGAGTCCCCTAAAAACCCTTGCAAAGCAACCCCTTCGAGTTACCCATTTGAACCACCAAAGAAGCACCAAAAACACCCCCAAATCAGCATCCAAACTACCTAACCCCCCCCCAAAACGTCCTCCAAAAATAGACACAAAGCCTTCCTCAAAATAGCCCTTTGGACATTTCTTTTAGAGTTACTAAAAAAGAGGAAATAAAAAAATTATATAAAAGAAAGGCTAAAAAGATTTTCTTGTGTTGGATTGTTGGCGACCATAACATGATGTTGTAGATTGTATTTGATTGATTTTTTTATAGCAAAATAAGCAACAAAAACTACCTTGGGCTTTCGGGAGCTCGTGAATTTTGCGGTAACTTTGAAGTGCTTACCCGAGTAGCGAAGGGGTTTTTGGTCACTTTAGCGAAACTCACACCCTACATTCTCGACCAGAAAATACCTTCATTTTTCGACTAATCGTATATTCAATTATCATCGAAACGAAGAGGGTAGGATCAACTTTGAATCTAACGTCGATACTTCGAAGTTTTTGGGTAAAAATCTTAAAACATGACATTTACGAATGAGTGATAAACGTTTGAAAATGACTCGTGTGCTTTAAAATGTGGTTAAAACTGTGATAGTTGGCATAACATTCATGAAATAAATATGGTTAAAATGAAACATTACTCGTAAAGATCATTAAGGAACAAGTATGCCATGTTTTCCTGTTATTATGCCTATCCGTCCCAATATAAAATTTGTCTCAATTTTGTACTTCAATTGACTTTCCATGATTGTTTGCAATGCTGTAATAAAACCTTCGAGTGGTTTCAAAATCATTTTGTTTGGTGTCTAATCCTCGTTTTTTCCTTTTTTTTTATTTATTGTTTCTCGATTTCCGTTTTCTACGTCTTATTGCCTATTTCATCTAAACAAAGTTGTCGGTGGCTTCCCACTTATGTGAAGAAGCCGTCAATGGCTTCGAAAATAATTTTTTATTTAATGTCTGTTCGTTTGAAATGAAGTCGTCAATGGCTTCCCACTTATGTGATGAAGCCATTGGTGGCTTCTAAATAGTTATCTCGCTCCTTGCTCGAGCTAAATAAAGTGATTGATAACTTCTAACTTGTGTGACGAGGTTATCGTTCTCTTCAAACTCATGATTCGAAGTCGTCGGTGGCTTCCCACTTGTGTGAGCAAAGTCATCGGTGACTCGTAACTCATGCCAATAAAAGGCTATTTATCTTTAGAAACTTGCTTATTGTTAATAATAGGTAATGTTCGCTAATGACTAGCCAAATTCTAACTTTTCACATTTTTTCCATTTAGGTGGGACGTATTGGCCTTGTACCGACTCGAATGTCCAAACTACCCCGTTTTATACCCAAACCATCTTGTCTCATATTTTTATAAAATAAACTCATTTAAATAGGTATAGAAGCATAACATGATAAAAACTAAATTTTTATATTCATAGATAAACAATGCGACCTATCTTAGGTAGGACGAGATGGTGGTGACGACATGTCTTTTCCATACATAACCGACCCCTTATCCGGATATCCATATAGACTAGTATATTTAGGGTTTCCTAGTTCTCCTCGATTAGCTAGGTGGCGACTCCTTTTTTCGACCCTCTCCCTTGCAGCGGCCGACGTCAATAGGGTTTATTGGAGCTTGAATTTATTTATTTATTGATTTGTAAGATACTTGTCATGATATCTTAATTATCTTATATATCAATCTATAAATAATATTAATAAAGATCATGAGGGAAATGAGAGAAGTGATGAATATGTAAAATAATACAATGCATATTTTTTGCTCGAATTTCATCTTTTATTTCTTAGAGAAAATGACAACAATATTTCAAGCATAACACTTCTTCATTGCATCCGAGTTTAAAGGTTTAACTATGTTATCTCCATCCATAGTGGCTAACGAAGTGCTCCTCCTAAAAAACTTTTCCGACCACATATGGACCTTCATAATTAGGTGACCACTTACTCTTATCTTTTACACATATTGACATAATTTTTTTAAGAATCAAATCTCCTTCTTGGAATTCTCTTGTCATTACCTTCTTGTCATAAGCTTTAGCCATATTCTTCGATACATTTGTGCATGACAAATAGCTACTAACCTCTTTTCACCGATCGGGTTTAACTACTTGTATATGACTTTGGCCCACTCAATCTCCTCTAACTATGTTTCTACGAGTATTTTGAGAGAAAGAATCTCCACTTCTAAAGGTATCATCACCTTTATGCCATAAATCAAAGAGTACAAGGTGGCTTTCGTTGACGTTCGATAGTTTTACGATAAGCATGAAGGGCAAATGTGAGCATTTCATGCTAGTTTTTGTATATGATTACCATTTTCTACACAATCTTCTTGATGTTTTTATTTACTCGCTTCAATCGCACCATTCATCTTAGGTCTATAGGGTGTTGAGTTCAAATACTAGCTTGTCGATGAGTTTAACTTTCTCTAGCAGTTTCGACATAAAACTCAAAGGCAAACAATCTCCCTCATCAACTTAGGCCCACTCTAATCTAACCCTAAAATCCTCGGCTTCATTTCTTATTTGTTCTATCATGATTTATGTGAATGGTAACTTGTAAAAGTCGGGGTTAGAACAGCTTATCATTTAGAAATGATTCGTGTCTTAATTGGTCAACTCTAACGGACATGGTCTAGCTTTTCTATGATTTTGGAAAAACTTATCTAATCCTAAAGTCATTTCAAGTTTACGGACTCGTCTAAATTACCAGTGGGGTAATCAAACCTCTAACCTTATGCGTTAGGAGATAGGGGAATATCATTTCACCATTTCCTATGCACATGGTGAGTTTCAGTCCAAACAAGAGTTCAAAAGGGTATCGGTAAACTTTTATCATACTCGCCTTCGAATCTCTCAATCTAAATCATAACAAGGTTTAGCTCGGGTCCAGAGCTTTTGCAAGTTTCTTCATGGTGCGTACAATAGTTCAAAACGGATATCTAACCTAGTTCAAATAAAATGTAATGAGAAAATAAATTATAAAAATTAAAAATATTTACAATAATTAGGTCGATAAATGACTTTGAAATATATACAAGAAATAAAATTCGAAGAATAAATTATGAAAAATAAATAAATTGTAATTAAAGACTTGGAAAATAATTGACTTGAAAATAAAAACAAGGAAAATAATTGACTTGAAAATAAAAACAAAAAAAAGAAGATAAATTTGAAGGACTAAAACTATAGCTCGACTCTATAATCTTCGACGAGTCGTCATTCCGTTGCTACCGACATCGGATGGAAGTCTCGAAAAATTTAAGATTTATATTTATAGAGTTATTTACAAGTTTGGAGTCACCACATAGTATTGAAGGAACCAAAAACCTAAAATGAGTACTTGGTTTAAAGATTTTAAGACAAAGAGTTGGTTACACTTTGGGAATATATTGATTACCCAAAGATGTTTTTTTTCCTAAGAAAGGTATCTTGTCTTGTTTAGTCCTAAATTCATCTCCTAAAATATTTTATTTGTATCAAATTATTTTCTATTTTAAAAAAATCTAATTTTTCAAGTCAAAAAATATTTTAGGCATGACATCGTATTGAAACAATCGTTGGACCCTTTCGTTGGGAGACACATCGGTTTAAACATCGGATACACTTTAAGCCTCACACACAACCGATGTATCAAAAAAAATTTTAATTATTAAAAATGTTTGTTTGTTTTTTTTTTTTTTGCTAACAACATTCCCTATTAGATAGAAGACTTTGTTAAAGGTTTTATGAGTCAAATTAATTTTTTTTTATTTTTTTATTGGTGGAAAAATCGTATTAGTTCCTAAAAATAAGAGACTCAACAATTATCACCTATTGATTAATTAATCTAATTATTGACATTTCAGAAAAAATTGCTATCAATCCCTAAAAATTTAGGAGACTCGAACAATTCACCCACCTATTAACTATTAATCTAATTATCGAAATTTCAAAGAAAACCATTATTAGTCTCCGAGAATTTAGGAGACTCGACAATTTACTCATCCATTAGCTATTAATGTAATTATGAAATGAAATCCTAATAAAAGGAATTAACCATTATTTTTATTATTTTTTTATATTTTTTTCAATAGAGAATCATCATCAGTTTCTAAAAATTAGGAGACTTAATAATTCATCTATCATTTATTTATCTAAATTAATTGTAGAAATTAAAATTTTGAAGTTAAAACTTAATTAAAATTAACTAGGTGGCATTCTAAAAGACTAGAAAAAATCTAAATTAAACAGGAAAAAAACCACACGAATAGACATTCAAAATAAATCATCTAAAAAAAAGAGTAAATAAAATAAGACAAACTAAATAACGTGTTTTTTGAACTAGGATTGGGCTGGGCTGAAACCAGCCCATCTTTCCTTTTGTGTGGATCGGGATTTGTCCAATCCAATATCTCCTATTTTATAGGACCTGGACCAAGCCCACAAACAAAACCAAAAAACCTTTCTCTTAATTTTTAGATCAAACAGCATCAGCTGCTACCCGATCTTCTTTTTGTTCATCCAGTCATTTCTCCTACGTTTTTTTTCCTAAACCCAGCAGTTTCAACTCGATATTCCACTAAAAAAAATCTTCTCCATACTCCATGCTA